CCCAGGACCTTTCATCCCTGTGTTTCCCACTGCAGGTTCCAGGAAGGCCTGGAGTGTTCCCGTCTTGCATCACTCCCCCACCAGACATTGCCTCGCTTTCCCCCAGTTCACCCTTGCTGAAGAGGCCTTCTTCGTACAGAGTAGGGCCCTCAAGCTCCTTGATGTTCCCTCTGGTCCTTGACAAAGATGTTGTTAATGTTCGTCTTGCATAAGCCGATACGACCACAGGTGGGGCCGATAGCCGTCCCAGGCAAACGCAGACCCCTTCAGCCGCTTCCTGAGCCTGCACAGGAGCCGGTTCAATGGCCACACTGTACAGCTGTTCCTGAGATTAGGCAGCCCTGCCTGAATCCCCTTCCCCACCTCTACAGGACAGCTCAGCCCCCCCCCAACCTTCACCCACAAACACGCCAACTCTGTACCAATAATTCACCAGGACAAAAGTGCTCCCCGGACACCAAAACGCCTGCCAATGTTGGCAAACAAGAAAGAGTGATCTCACGATCAAAAGCTTTCTTCTTGATCTATCAATAAGATGCCAACATTTTAAATTATATTAATTTGCAGACGTCAAAAATGTCTCTCATTAAAAACCAAATTATCCCGTATGTATCTGTCTGGGACACAGTAGACTGATGGACCTATTAATTGTCCAATGAAAACTTTCAGGTCTTTGGAATAAAACCTAGATAAAATTTTATAGTCTGTACATAGAGAGCCACAGGTCTCCAGTTTTTTAAGGAGCGTTAAATCTCCCTTTCTTGGCAGCAGGGAGATCGCTCACGGCGGACAGGAAGCAGGAGACTCCCTTTGTTAAAAGACTCTTTAAAAACACTCCAACAGTCGTTTCCCATAAGTTTCCAGAAATGCTTAAAAAAGGTCTGCGGCAGGCCGTCCATCCCTGGAGCTTTCCCTGAGGGCCATTGTGGGCACGCCGTGGTCAGCTCCTTGCAGAGACAGTCCAAGCTGAGGTGTCGCGGTCCTCCGGCCTCAGCCGAGGGAATGCTCGTCCAGCAGCTCCTCAGTTGCGTCCATGTCGCAGTCTCGCCCTGAACAGGTCAGGTAGTACTCCACCTTGTGTCCTCATTTCCGCAGGGGTGGGGCAGAGGTCAACCTTCCGTCCGGCAGGCGGAGACACACCATCTGCTTCCTCTGGCCTCGGACCTCTCCAGGCTGAAGAAAGAAGTGGTCGGAGCGATCCATATCCTTCATGCAGTAGGAAGCGAGCTCGGACCAGAGCTCCCCTTTGCTCTCTCCATGGAGGCATGGAGTCAGCTGCTGTTTCTGGAGGGCCAGGTCTGTGTGTCGGCTGAGGACCACACTTCTCCAGCCTCTTGATCTCTGTCTCCAGCTGCTCCACAGGCCCTCTGATGTTAGCCGTGGAGTAGGCTGTGTACTGCTTGGCAGAAGGCCCCAATCTGACCCTTGCCCACCTCCACCACTGACTAAGGGAGGGAAAAGACGCCTTCCTGGATTTCCAATAAAACCAAAGTTACTTAAAATTGTACACAAAACGTTAAGTCACGAAAAGCTAAACGTTAAAATGCCAGAACTTATGAGGATTTCTGGGTGGAAGAATAAAAACAGCTCTGCTGACACTAGATGTGTCTGTGAAACCAACAGGGCGAGATGTTGCTGTTTAGTAGACACGAGCTGTAAAAAGCAGCAGAGATGTAAGTCTGTCCAAGCCTGGCTGCACTGACCCTGCCGTCTGAGACTTTAACCCAGGAGTACTGCCTGATGACGGATGCTTTCATCCTCCAAACATCCACCAGAAATCAGCTTCTCTCAGCAGCTGGGCCAGAGAGGAGGAGGGACTGAGGGTGGGGCTCCTGTCCTGTCCTGTCCACCCTGTCAGTACAAACAGTTTCCAGTCCCCCCCAGAATAAACCACACTCCCCCCTTATTACACTGCTGAGTCCGTCCTTTCAGCAGCTGAAGAGAGCGAAGCGGTTTCAGGGCCGTGGTTAGGAGCATTATATGTTAATAAAGTTAAAACACAGAGTCTTATTTCTGCCCTGACCATGAGCCCCCTGCCCCTTTCTATCTCAGTGCTGGGATAAGATGTTGGACTGTTTAGAGTGGGGGAGAATAAAACCAGCGGGACTTCCCAGCAACTTTTAAATTTGGAGCCGCTGACTGAGCACATGCTGCCCCCCCACCATAAGCCCCCAGTCTGTTTCGTATCAGAGGCGTCACTGTGGGTTTCCTGCAGGGAAAATTTACATCCACCTTTTTGTCCCGGAACGACTCTCTGAGACCAAAGCTCTTCTTTCTCTGAGCATTTCTACCCCTCCGTAATATTTCTAAAGAAAGCGTCCCTGAAAGCCGGGCATCAGAGGAGAGGAGAGACAGAGCAGGAGGGGAGACAGAACAGACAGACACAGCAGAGAGGAAAACACCCTGTGTTGTGTGTTCATTGTTTTCTTTACCTGGGATAATTTCATTCTTTTTAAACTTTCTTGGAGGCTTTTTAAGGCTTCTCCTTTAAGGTGGTGACATGTTTTTTGAAGAGCCTGGTTAGAGTTTCTTGTCATCCAGCAGGTCCACCCCCACCACCTTAAGGAGAAGCTTAAAAAGCTCAAGAAAGTTAAAAGAATGAAATTATCCAGGTAAGAAAACAATGAACAACAACACAGGGTGTTTCCTCTCTTGCTGTGGTCTGTCTGTCTGTCTCCCTCCTGCTCTGTCTCTCCTCTCCTCTGATGCCGGGCTTCAGGGCGGCTTCTTTAAAATTTAACGGGGGTAGAAATGCTCAGAGAAGAGCTTTGGTCTCAAGAGGTCGTCCGGGACAAAAGGCTGGATGTAATTTTCCTGCAGGAACCCACAGTGACCCTCTGAACGAAACGAACTGGGGCTTATGGTGGGGGGGGCAGCATGTGCTCAGTCACGGCTCCAATTTAAGTGCTGGAGTCGCTGTTTTATTCTCCCCCACTCTAACAGTCAACATCTTTATCCAGCACTGAGATAGAGAGGGGCAGGGGGTCATGGTCAGGGCAGAAATAGACTCTGTTGTTTTTAACTTTATTAACATATATTGCTCCTAACCACGGCCCTGAACGCCTCGCTCTCTTCCAGCTGCTGAAGGACGGACTCAGCCAGTGTAATAGGGGGGGAGTGTTTATTCTGGGGGGGA